ATGTTCCGGCTGCGGCTCAGGCTCAGAAGCCAACACTAAGTTTTCAACACCCGAAAAGTCCATTGGACCGACACAGTCATCGCGATGCTGGAAGCGAGGCTTTGTCAGCGTGAGACAAGACGTGGAGTGATTTATCTGCTCCATAGCCGAAAACCTACGTTCAGGCAGCGGATGAATGAAATCATGGCCAGCTGCTTCACAGCTGTGTGAAAAGTGGGCTACCTTGGAGCGGGGACCCGGCCTTATCATAGACTTGGTGCGACGTGCTTGCATCTCCCCGGGTTTAATTCCCTCACCCGACTCTGAGCTCAACCTTGTTGAGGAAAGTTGTTGACTTATATCCTGATAGCCAGCGATATCGGCATTTCGAGATTGGAAGTCATCGTCAAATGAACTAGAATGTCGGGATACGGTTGAAAATTTTGAGAAATTGGGACATGGAACGAGATCAGTCGTTTTGCAAGTACACCCATCTAGCGGTGCAATGTCAAGTGCAGGTGAGTTATACTCACCTGGATGAGATGAGCTGTCGGGGTAAATTGCAGATGGTCCGCAATAGGATGTCCCACTTGTATGTGCCTCAACTGTGTCTTGGGGTCCAGTGGGGATGCCCAAGTAGGCCTGCATTTCGTCCACCTCACCGAGTTGATCTTCAGAGGTAGTCGGGTCTGTATTTTGATGTATGGCTTGACTAGGCCGTCTTTCCGACTGGCAAATATCACTTTCCTGAGTTGAGAAGTCCTCAGGTCCTCCGCTTTTTATCTCACTGTCTGGTTTCTGGGTGTCAATTTGATCATAAAAGTTGAAATTAGATCCCCCAACTGCAGATGCGCTGCCTTCATATATGCTACCGCAGGTATGCTCATCAAAACCGCACCGACCCCAGCATCTGGTGGACTGTTCAGCGCCCAGGGAGCGGCGCATCGGGACACTGCGTGCCATGCAGGAATAAGGAGCGTTGGTTCGGTCATTATCGGAGTGCGCGTAAGCCATGTCCATGCTCTTGCGTGAATTCAGGCTCACTGGCTGTTGATGTGCATTTTCGTGGCACGTACAGATAAGGCTTGAATTGGAAGGACCAAAACTTTCCTCAAAGATATTTCTTTCTCGGTGCGCAATATTCTACAATAAAAAAGCAAAACAAAAAGTAGCAGCATGCAAGAACTAGCATAAAGCAGTTTGTAGAAAGATGCTGGGGGAAGGGTCATGGAAGGCGCAAAAATATTAGTCTCAAAAATCGGCTAGGAGAACTGGTGAGCGTAGACGCAAGGTGAGCTCTCGCTAAACGTACGATTCAGATGGTACAAGTACCCTCTCAGACGGTAGTACAAATAAGATACCACGCTAATTCCGTCGAGATTCTTCTTGTTCGTTAAGCACAAAATGTGAACAGGCGGGGGCAACAGTAGCTTATGTAGGCCCACTCACTATTCCCTACTCCCTGCATGTTTTCCTACGAAAACGGTGGTTATAGGGTTTTAT